TATATATATATATATATATAATCTCCCCCACATGTTTAAAATTTAAATTAATTAATTAATTATAAGCAGCAACAACACTGTGCCCTCAAAAGAAAGCAGAGGGAAGAAGCCTGCTAGTCGTGTCTTATCTGGTGGGGCATGTAAGGGGAGCCAAGAGTTGGTTGTGCTTTACCATCAACTCTAACAACCTTAAAACAAACACAGCAAATACACTGTAGGCCAAGAATGTATGTTGTATTTTTCATGTTTACTCTTTAAAAATATTTTTAGCGGAGCCACCACGAATCCTGACCTCTGCAAACACACTCTATCAGGTCATTGCAAACAGGCCTGCCTTACTGGATTGTGCCTTCTTTGGGTCTCCTCTACCTACCATTGAATGGTAAGTAATGGTCCTATTCTTTGTTTAATACCAAATATTTGCTAAATCCATCCAATGTCTGAATAGTTGTTTTTGTCAAAGACCAGAGAGAGGAAAGGTAGTGAAGAATCCGTCACCCTGTTAATTATTAAATTCATTCATCCATTCATACATATTTGTTAGTTACCTGTTCTGTGCCAAATACTTTCACATACATAATCTATCAAATACTTCCACATACATAATCTATTTAGTAGCACACACTGTCAACCACAGAGCTGCATGGAAATGTTTAAAAACGACTTTCAGGTTGCTGTATCTTGTAGTGCTGTAGACATCACCAGGTGATGGGAGAGAAAGATGAGATGTTCCTGATAATAAAATAGTACTTGGGATGGGAAAGAAGTAACAGTGATAGATTGGGTTCTATAACCTCAAAAACAGACTTATTCCCAGTGTTTATCTTTAGTACGTTTCCCACCTATCTTCCTGGCTTGGATCAGGCCAAGCTCTCCTGTGTCCTTTTAATTCCTGTATTAGACCATCCTTGCACAAATGGCACGGGAGCAGTATCTGACCTCTTCTAAATTCACAAGAGGGTAGGAGGATCATGATCACCATCAACAATGCAAGGCTGATTCTTATGAGCAGAAGTCAGGCAATCCACCACACCACCCTCCAACTTTCTTAACAATTCAGACACCAACTGTCCCTCCCATGACACTCTCTACTTCTCTGCTGGGAAGAGAGAATTATCCACACTGGATAATTCGTTGGAGTGGCCACACAAAACCCACAGATAATACTCACGATTATGGAGTTTATTAGGGAAGTTATAAGTTACAATTCAGGATCAGGAATGCTCAGGTTACAGTTCTTTGATCAGGGCAGTCTCCCCTCAGCCATGCTCAAAGGCAGGTCTCTCTCTGACTCTGGGCCCCTCAGCCTAGCCTCTGCCATGCTCAGGAAAGGGTTGCAGGACTCTTTTAGCTCTGCCTCTGCCAGAGACACCCCACTCCCTCAGTAAACCTGCTGCCTGAAGGCACTCAGCTTTCTCACTCCATAGGCTGGGACGCCCCCTGCACTGTTGACTGCAGAGTCTGCTGCCATTGTTTCTCTGCTGCTGCTACTGCCGCTTCTCGTTTCTCAGTAAAGTGTTCCAGCTTTCTCTGTGTCTCCTGGGTCAAGGAGGTTCAGCACAGGGAATCTTAGGTCCAAAGGATGTGCCACACTCCTCTTCTTTCTCAATGGTAGTGAGATTCCCCCTTTTCCACCTCTGGGATGGTTCATTTTAAGCCTACCATATGGTAAAACTGACTAATCCCCACACTGGGGTTCCATACACCTTCTTACCATTTCCCACCCCAATAAGGGTACCATGTGCTTATTTACATTAGTAACAGCTATCCAATGCCCTTGGTGGGCTGCAAGCACCTCATATTTGCAGAGTCCCACCCAGTCATCTGGTGGGAGTCACAAAAACCATGGCTAGAAGTAATTCACTGCACCACAGCCCCTTTCATAAATTTGTCTCCCCCAGTTTAGCATAAACTGGGGAGGCGACAAGGCTGGGACAGGCAATAACACAGAAAGAGCCAGGAAAGAACATTAGAGCATTCATTTACTGATGATCTATCAGCTGTCAGGTGCTGTGCTGGGCTCCAGCAAGTAATGTGAAAATAAACACAGGTTCAAGATTAAAGGAAGGAACCCTGGTGGTGCAATGGTTAAGTGCTAGGCTGCTAACCAAAAGGTTGCTGGTTTGAACCCACCCAGCAGCTCTGCAGAAGAAAAATTTGGTGATCTGTTTCCATAAAGATTGTTGTTTTTGTTGTGTGCTGTCGAGTTCGATCTGACTCATAGCGACCCCTCTTTGGGTTTCCGAGGCAGTATCACTATGGAAGTAGATGGCCCAACCTTCCTTCTGAGGAGTGGCTGATGGGTTTGAACTGCCAGCCGTCTGGTTAGCAGTCAAGTACTTAGGCACTACGCTATCAGAGCTCCAAGAAAACCCTATGGGGCAGTTCTGCTCTGTTGCATGGGGTTGCCATCAGTCAAAAATCTCCTTGACAGAACCTCACAGCAAAGAAAAGGGTTAAAGGACAGTGCCCCTGTCCCCTGCCTCTGTCATGGGGGAGCAGCACTGATGCTTGTACACATGATTACTAGTGAAAGTGATGGGGTGACACTTAGATGTCTTGGTTGACTTTCTCTCAGTCCTTTCATCTGTCCTCACCTGTCCTGTCTGACACTCACCAGGAAGCTGAATGTGTACCCACTATTTATTCTTTATGTTTTTCTCCTCTGGTTATTTCACTCTTCCTATTTTCAAAAGTACCATCCTTTTAGCCTTGAAACCAAAATCTCTTTTAAGAATTACATCCTGCAGTTACAATTACATCACATTCGGGGGTTGGGGATGACAGAAAGGGCAGTTTTCATTTTGTCCATTTTATCGCCTATCTAGAAATGAGTTAGGTAACAATGCATTTATTAAATTATGAAGCTCTCTTAACAGATATTCCAGTTTAAAGATTTTGTATCGTCAGCCAAATTGTGCAAGCAGCGTTTATCTTTGAATTCTCCAGCTCTATGGCTTGTCTTTACAGGTATCCCACTGACTTATAAGTTTGCAACGTGCTTGCACAAATGTCTCTGAATATGACATTTTAGTGCTGTGTTGGCCTTGAAAGAGGCATTTTCTGGCTGACTTCAAATTATGAATCTTCTTTTTTCTCACTGGGATCATTTCTTTAATGAAGGTTTAAAGGGACTAAAGGGAGTGCCCTTCATGAAGATACTTATGTCCTCCATGAAAATGGAACCTTGGAAATTCCTGTGGCCCAAAAGGACAGTACGGGGTCTTACACCTGTGTTGCAAGGAATAAGTTGGGGACAGCAAAGAATGAAGTTCAGTTAGAGATCAAAGGTAAGGCAGAGGTCATGACTTCTGTTTTCAACTGCTCTATGACTTTGAACAACTTCTTCAACTTTGGCAGTGGATACCACTAACTTTATATTTCAGACCCAACGAGGATCATTAAACAGCCTGAATATGCAGTTGTGCAAAGAGGGGGTACAGTGTCTTTTGAGTGCAAAGTGAAACACGATCATACCTTAGTCCCCACTGTCTCATGGCTGAAGGACAACGGTGAGCTGCCCAATGATGGAAGGTATTTGAAGATGATTTCTTTCCTTTCTCTTTAAGCTGCCATTCAACTAAAGAGTCATTCATTGTACAGTGACTCAGCAGTGAGATTGTTATGTTTCTGAAGACTACAGTCTCCAAAATAATGAGATAAACATTCTCTCCCTACAGTAAAACATTAGGACCAAAAATGCTATCAAGTTATTGAAATAAGACACTGAGAATGTTTGTCTATCTTTGTGTGTTTGTCTCCTCTGTAACTTGGGATGGGAAAAACCCTTCAGGCCTTGCACAATGTTCATTGTTTTGTACTTTGTACAATGAAGCCTTAACAGATGTTTTCATTATCGTTCTACAAATAAGCAGAAATACAATCTCATTAATTGCCAGAATGTGCCTGGGTCCTTGTCAGTACAAGACACTAGCTGTTATTTGGATTTAAAAAAAAAAAAAAAAAAACACTACCATCGAGTCAATTCCAACTCATAGTGACCCTTTAGTATAAAATAGAACTGCCCCATAGGGTTTCCAAGGCTGTAAATCGTTATGGAAGCAGGCTCATCTTTCTCCCGTGGAGCAGCACATGAGTTTGAGCTGCCAACCTTTTGCTTAGCAGCCAAATGCTTTAACCATTGTACCACCAGAGCACCAGAGTTGTTACCTGGGTAGGGAGTTTCATTTCGATTTTATCTAAAGCCAGCGGAAGGGAAAAAATAATAAAATAAAGACAGTAAAGCATTTGAAAGAGCCCAGGCATGCTACGGTCCTTGAATTTGGAACGGGAGAAAGGCCAGACCATTTTCCAGGCAAGGTCCTCCTTTGACCTACTAAGTACACTGAGTTAAATGAATGAATTTTAGCAGTAACAGGGTGGCTACAAGGCTTGCCCCCTGTTGGAAGGAATGCTGTATCCTTGTGGAAGTGGTTCCTGTTGTTTTCATACAGCTGACCTAAACCCGTGGCTCCTAAATTGTGTTCTGTCGCTTACTACAAAAAAAAAAAAAATTACCGTCAAGTGGATTCCAACTCCTAGTGACCCCACATGTCGCAGAGTGGGACTGCACTCTACAGGGCTTTCGAGGCTGGAATCTTTTGGAAACAGATTACCAGGACTTTCTTCTGAGGCACCTCTGGATGCATTCAAACTGCCAACCTTTACAACTAGTAGTCAAGTGTTTACCTGTTCATGTCACCTAGGGATTTGCTTATTAATAGCCCCCCAATAACTTTTGTGAACTTCTCATTATGCCCAGAGCTTTTATCTAGCTCTGTGCTCCAACTGTTAAATTTTATTTGTGTAATCTGAGTTTCTTTCTCTTGGAAATGACCTGAGAAGACATTTTATGACTTGTGAAGTCTCCTTAAAACCACACATCAATCCCATATACTTTGATTTTCAATCCACTGGATAATTTTGCTTGCCTACAAGTAACCTTTATACACTCTAGTGGAGACTGGTGATCTAAGTCTTCCTGTTTCTTGTGATAATATGTCTGCTATTCTTTGCTTTTACGTTCTCCTATGAAAGTTTACAAGGAGCCGTGGTGGCACAGTGGTTAAGTGCTCAGCTGATAACTGAAAGGCTGGGCGCTAGAACCAGAGGTTCTATAGGGAAAATACCTGACAATGTACTTCTGTAAAAATTTCAGCCTTGGAAACCCTATGGGGAGAGTTCTACCCTGTCCTATAGTCAGACTTGACTTGATGGCAATGAAATCAGAGTTTATGCACTTAGTAAAAGTGTCATAAAATGTCTACAATAAATAATAAATTATTGTAAAATAATGGCTTTGTTAGTTGGGTGAGTGGCTTTCAAATCTTTGTTAAGTCTCTTCTTCACCTCCAGTGCCCCTGAGAACTTGAAGGAAGCTCCAGTGACTCCAAAGCCATGGTTGAAAGTCACTGTATCAGATGACTTAATATCCCTTCTAGCCTATGATTTTAATTCAAGTATGTAAATTGTTTTCCAGCTGTAACCATTACAGAAGCAATACAGATTGTGTAGTTTTTAGCTCTGATGCCCTGCAAATCTTTATCATCTTTCTCTTTTACCAAGTTCAGGGGGTTTCTATAATTCAATAAAGCAGTCACAGGTGTGGTTGGCTACTCACCTCAGCTGCCCTGAATGTGTCACATTCACAGGTTCACTGTCGACAAGGAGCATTTGGTGATAGCTGATGTCGGGGATGCCGATGGGGGGACCTACACTTGTGTGGCCAACACGACTCTAGACAATGTCTCTGCCAGTGCTGTGCTTAGCGTTGTTGGTAAGAACTAGAACAAACGCATCACAACCCATTGCCCAATATTAGATTGAAAAGAAAAAGAATAAATATTTAATGTTTGCTTGTTATATGTGTACAGTTTTATAGATGAGTTAAATATCCATGTTTTTCTTTGGGAAAAAAAGTCTTCAAGGCAATAATTTCAGTGTGCATGTACTCTGTAGCAGCACTGGGAGGGAGGATTGGCCATTTATTATATTTTTATAAGCAAGCTAGAGAAAACAATCTACTTTTATTTAAAATCAAGAGTTTTTTCCCCCTAACTTATTACTGCATGTTTATCAATGCCATATCTCCACAGCTAAACATAGAGCTTAGTTTTGTAATTTTAATCATGTGGAATCTTTGTCTTCTTGTGCTATCTTGTATCTTTCCATTACTAATTCTGATTAAAATCCTTTATATTAATGTCCTTTCTAGCTCCCACTCCAACTCCAGCTCCCATTTACGGTAAACTAATATGAGTCTTCTTTCTCTATTTTCTGTCAGACGATTTCATATTTGCAGAAAAAAAAAATATTTTATTTTCTCCATCACATCATTACATTTCTTTTAAGCAAAAGGGCTCCAATCAAGTGTTATGTTGCATTGCCCATTTTCTGCTATCAATCATTCCTTCAATAAACCCTGGAATTTTTCATTGGGTATATCACCAGTCATTTCTAAATATATCATGTATTATTATAAAATCATTTCATCTAATAAAAGTCTCTCTTTAATATAATTTCCTTGTAAAGTAGCATTAGGCTTTTTCAAAAGCTATCATCCACATTTCACAGAATGAAAAAGCTATTTAAAATATCATTTCACAAATTAGGTTTACTTCAGTCCAATAAAAGTTGTTCTGGAAAAATAATCATTGTTTGGTGATTCCATTTTCAGAATATTTACACAGAAACAAAAATGGGTGTTGAGAATAACATTTGGCTTTTGCCTCAAAGAAAACTAATTCACTGTGTGGTAACAAGAGATAAATCATTGAAGAAAGACCAGAAGAAGGATGGCACCCATGTTGTATGATTTTTCTGAGCCTGAAAAATAAATCTGTAATTATTTCTAGAAATATTTTTGTTTACAGAGCCTCATTTTATTTAGCACATAAATACAAACATTAATGTTGTAACATAATCCTCACTTGGATTTTACATTTAAAAAAAAAAATGCCATTGCATCATTTCCAACACATCATTAATTATCTTCTAGAAGCCCTTTCCTTTGCAAACATTCACTGCTTCTTTACTGATAGGAAAAAGGTGTCCATGTTTGTCTATGGCCTCTGCGTCCCCAAGAGCCAGATTGCTACCAGGATCAAGGCTAAGAAAAGACCCAAAGAAGAATGTTAACTCTCTGGGTCTCAGAAACCCCATTGAAAGGGGCAGACATGTTCTGGGGCATCTTTGTCCCAACAAAGTGCCTGTGCCCTGGGGTCTCTGAGAGCAAGCACACCTCCTCAAGTGCCTGCCTAGTGTTTGGGAAATCTGCATATGTGTGCATGCTGAAGGCTACCTGTATAGCATCCATTGTAGAGTTCCCTTTCAAATACCACTCTTCTTCAGAAAACCCCAAGTCTATTGCTGCACATGTTTTAGCAAGAAGATTGAAGGTTTTTTTAAACAGTCGCTTCTATTTGTCTTGGTTTTTCAGCATCTGCTCTTCTCTGCTTCCCATTTATTAGAAATTAAGCTTTGATAGTATATTTTATGCTTGTGCTCATCCATGTTTATGAAGAGATACACACTGAGAGTGCTGACGGACCACACACCTCTGCTTCACTAGTGGTGATTACAAATGATCTAGTCTTATTGAAAAAACAAGCCAGCAGAACTCAGTACTGGGTTGTGTCTGTTGTCCATGTGTGTTCCCAGCAACCTCAGTGGCTTCCACTCATTTCCATTGCATGCCATTGACCATTAGTTGTGGTGCATCTGTAAGATGCCCCCTTTCATAGCATCACAGATAAAGGAGAGCCTCTTGAGGACCAGGGTTAACGCTGATGTGTTTTTTGGTCTACAGATGTTCCGAATCCTCCCTTTGATTTAGAATTGACAAATCATCTCGACAAAAGTGTTCAGCTCTCCTGGACTCCAGGCGATGAAAACAATAGCCCTATTACAAGTATGTGGTGTCATTTGATTTATCTGATAAACGTAACAGCCACTGTTTAAAGAAATTTATAATATGCAACTTAAATTCCTTACAGAGATTTTTACTAGCATAGTCTGTTCTTTACTGATAGGACAAAAATGCATCTATTTATTTGTGGACTCTCTTTAGAGCCAGAGTTTTTCTGTTTACAGCTTCTGGCAGGTGGCTCTAATTAATTGCTGATGATATTAAGAAAGCAAGTGTACTTTTATGTTTAAGATCCATAAGCATCTTGTTAAATTTCTGTCACAATAAGAAGATGAATCTTAAATTAGTTATTCATCTTACACATTACTCTGGGAGAAGAAGGTACTGTAATTCACAATCTATATATTAGGAAATTGAGAATTGGTGAGTAAAGTTGGCTTTTCAAACGCAGAGTTGGTAACAGAACCACGTGTCGACATCAGATCCATTAGTCTCCATCACAGGTCTGCTTCCTTTCCACTGGGCCACTTCAGAATGGCACATTCAGTAATGTCAGCTTCTCACTTTGATGGCCTGAGTCTAGGGAATAAGAGCAGATGCGAGACTATGCAATAAGGACACTGAAAGACCTCAGAATTCTGTGGCCATAGGTAATGGTAGAGGTTTAGTTGTGAAACTGAAAAGATGCTTAAGAGCGCAGACGAACGCCTGAAGTGTATTATTTGCTCAGGTAGATACTATGAGAAGACTCAATTCCTCTCTGATGACTACCTAAGAGTGTTCTAAAATGACATGTGTGTGGATATATTGCGCATTGAAGTAAAGCAGAATAATTTCCAGTGAAATTAAGCAAAAGCTTCTCTGTCTGGTGTCATTTAGTGCTGCTCCTTTCTCAGCTGAGCTTTCAGGGCCTTCATCTTCCAAGCAGCCTGAGTCTTCCTGCTAATTCCACACATTGGCCTGGTGTAACTCTGAGCCTAGGATGCTCAGAGACGCTTTTTACTGACCATAAAACAATGCCATCAGATTTCAAAACATTTTCATTCATTCACTCATTTAGTTACTTATTCAGCATCTATTTATTGAGTGCCTAATATGTGCCAGGCAACATTCTAAAACAAAACAATAAAAAAAATATATATCTGCCCTTATGAAGCTTATATTTTATTTGGGGACACAAATAAGGTGAGATTAATTATTATGTTATGAATACTGCTATCGAATAATGTGTATATGTATACACACACACTTTTCAGATACCCTTTCATGAGAGAAACTACTTACTGTAAGGAGAGCAAAGACAGCCTCCATCTGCTGCTCCTTAGGGATCTGCTTCATTGTTCACACTGAGGCCCATACTCTCCCTGAGCTGCTTCTAGCCAGTGACTGAGCACAGCAAGGCCCTGGGGCTGAGCCAGACCTAGTGCTGGGCTCCTGATGGGCCACCTTTGCTCTGATGCTCCCTGTTGACTGGCTGAGACTTTCCCAGAGCCACAGTGCAGTCAGAGGCACTTCCTGTCCACTCCTCCTTCCTTCCTCCTCTCCTTACAGACATCAGAGCTGCAGCGTAGTCTAAGGTTCTCCCTGCCTACTCCTGTTTTGTCCCTGCTGTCATCCATGGGCCTTTGTCAAGTAAATCTCTTGCACTTCTAACTCAGTCTTTGTATCTGCTTTCTAGAAGGCTCAAGCACATGGTTTGCGATTATGTATGTGTGTGTGTGTACACATGTACCATGGCAAAAAGAAAAAAAAAAAGACAGGAAAAGGGGATGAGGAATAAGGAGAGAGGCATAATTAGGAACAGAGTGGTCAGGATAGGCCATGCTAAGAAGGTAACATTTGAGTCTGTGAGTAAGGACATGAGGAAGGAGTTGAGTCAGCACACTATGCAGTTATCTGAAGGAAGAACTCTTCAGGGAGAGCAAAGAACAGGTGCTAGGAGGCTAATGTGGCTGGAGTGAAATGCGCAAGGGAAAGTGAATCAAGTGAGAAAACCAAAGAGGTAAAAAGTTGGTGGGTGATGGTAGGGTGTGAATGTGGAGGGTTGATCATTGTAAGGGCTGTGGGGTAAGGCTGGAAAGCCATTGGAGGAATATGAGCAGAAAAGTGGTGAGTGGATCACTCTGGCTACTCTCTTAAAAATGGTCCACAGAAGAGCAAGAGTGGAAGCAGGGAGACTAGTTAGGACCACAATTCCCAAACTGCCCTGAGATGCCCTATGGCATCATAGCAAACTCAGGAATACCTCAGGATACATAAGTTTTAAGGAAAACATAGTGACATCTGTCAGGTACAAAATGAACTTGAGTCAGTTTACAGTTTCAACATTACATTGCTGTCATATTTTAATAATGTCATATCTCTGGAAAGCAATGGCTATGATAAAAACCAAGTTGTTGTTGTTGTTGTTGTTATGTGCTGTCCAGTCAGACCTGACTCATAGTGACCCCTCCTTAGGTTTCCAAGGCAGTATCACTACAGAAGTAGATTGCCCAACCTTCTTTCTGAGGAGTGGCTGGTGGGTTTGAACCGCCAGCCTTCTGGTTAGCACTCAAGTGCCTTAGGCACTATGCTACCAGAGCTCCTAAAAACCAAGTACCACATGAAAATCAGTGTGGAACAGGAAATGAGGATGGTGGTGTCCAATACGTTTCTAATGTTTGAAAAGTTGTGCACTGCCCAATAGGTCCTATGTTGATAAGACATAAATCTTTATTAACTTGTATGAACCTAACTAGTTAGTAAATGGAAATTCTACATGGTTCTTTTGGCCTAAGGGAGACAGACAAAAAGAAAAATGCTTACTAAGCCAACATTAAGTGTACCATGAAGCAAAAAAATCTGAGAACTTCTGAATTAAGCGGCTATGCACAATTCACACAGGAGATGGTGATGGCTTGGAATAGGCTGAGAAAGATGGAAGTGTTGAGAAATGGTCAAATTTGGGATATATTTTCACAGTATGACAAACAGAACTAGTGAAAGTTTGAAAGAAGGGAAAAAGCCAAGAACTATAAGGTTTTGAACTGAATTGTCAAAGGGGGGGGGGGCGGGAAGGATCAGATCAGTTTTGGTCACATCCAGTTTAAAATGTCATAATAGACAACAAAGGGAAGCTGTTGAGTCAGCAGTTAGCTATCCAAGTCTGAAGTTCAGAGAACAGTTCTGGGCTGCAGATATAAAGGTGAAAGTCATCAGCTTAAGAGATAGGAGAACACCAGCAAGTTAGAGGGATTGAAAGAAGAGCTCCAACTCTTAAAGACTGAGCCCTATAGGACTACAACACATAATATTTCTAATCATCTTTCTATCTGTCCTTCACAGGATGGTACCTGGCACTTAGTAGGCAATCCATGAATATCTAAATACCAACTTTTTGCACAGGTAGAACATTACCTACCACATTTTCATGGATACAAAATGGTATGCACTGGAAATAAATGTTCCTTCCACTCTGACTCCCAGTTCCTCTGGTGACACCAGTGCTATCAGGGTGTAGCTTCTGAGAGGTATCACACTGACAGCAAGCATCTTTGTATCTATCACTCACAGCATGATGCCTGGTACATAGTAGGCAATCAGTGAATACCTATGTGTATGAGTATCTGTTATAGTAAATGCTTTTTCTTTTACAGAAATGGAGTATCCAACACACATTATTCCACACCCTGCTTGATTTTATTTAACAACATATTTTAGAAATCATTCTGCTTCAATACATCTGGAGCAACTTCATTCATTTTTAAGCTGCAGCGTATCCCATTGTGTGGGTATAGCATAATTCACTTAATCAGCATCCTATTGATGGACATTTAGGTTATTTTCAGTAGGGTGTTTCAATTGCAAACAATGCTGTGATGTGGATTCTTTTTCATGTGTCTTCAAGCATATGTGCAAACATATTTATTCAGAATAAATTGTTAGAAGTTCAATTTCTCAAAAGATATGTAATGTCAAATATTTTTAGACATTCCCAGATTATACTTTATAGAAGATGCATCAATTTACACTTCTCACAAACCAAGTATGAGAATGCCTGTTTCTCTACATCATAGTCAACAAAGTGTGCCACACTTTTTGGTCTCTGCCAATCTGCTATGTGGAAAATGGCATCGCATTATATTTAATTTCTCCTATTATGAAAAAAGAATTGACCATATTTTCATATATTTAAATTTTCCTAGGGATATACAGATCATTTCTGATCAGGTTTAAGTAACCAAACTCAGCATACTAGAGAAGGAATAGCAAATATTATTGGGTATCGTTAAGTATTGGGAATAATGCTACAACTCTGATTAAAAACAAAAAAAAAAAAACCATCTTAGTGAAATTAGTCTTGGGAGTAAAACAACTCACATTTGGCTACTCTTGTTAAATAGTCCCTTTGAGTTATTTCTAGCAGTCAGCCCCTTGGGTGACATTTGAATTTCCTTTTTTTTTTAAATTTTAAATGCATATAAATATCTTTAGAGGAGCCCTGGTGGTCTCTTGTTTTACTACACCATAAGCTCCACATCTCCAGGGCTGAGCCTAGCGCTAAGACTAATGGCTGGTGCTCACTGTTTGATGACTGTGTGAAAGAGGTGCATGGTGCAGATAAGTAATTGTCCACATTTATCTGGATTTTCTGAATTTTGGAAATTAAGGGAAACATAGAGGTTCGAACCCACTCAGCATCTCTATGGGAGAAAGACCTTGAGTTCTGCTTCTGTGAAGATTACAGCCAAGGAAACCCTATGGGACAGTTCTGCTCTGTCACAAAGGGTCGCTGTAAGATGAAAGCTACTTGATGGCATCGAACAGCAGCAACAATGCTGGCATGATTTTAAAAATCAGAATTTCTTTTCTGTTAAAGAAGGGAAAGAGTAGCCCTAGTGGCACAGGGGCTAAAGGCTCAGCTGCCAACCAGAAGGGCAGCAGTTCAAACCCATCATCCCTCCACAGAAGAAAGATGTGGTAGTCTGCTTCCATAAAGATTTATAGCCTTTGAAACCCTATGAGACAACTCTACTCTCCTATAAGGTCACTGTGAGTTGAAATCAACAGCAATGAGTTTGGGGTTTCGAAAAAGGGGAGTCTTATACACAACTGACAAACGACCCTCTCATTTCTGCCAAGTAAATGTCAGTGAGTTTTCATTTGTGACAGAACAATGAAAGGAATACTTACCTAAAGATTAAACAAGAATCAACAAAAATATCTGGTTGATAACTAGCACACAAAGATCGCAGACTCAGAACTATTAAAAAAAAAAAAACACATTGTTACCAGAATGACAGCTTTCCCAAGGAAAGTTATATGGATCACTTTTAAACAATTTTGAGTAACTAAGTTCAGCATACTAAAACCAAAAAAATCAAAACTCACTGCCATCGAGTCAGATCCTACTCATAGCAACCTCTCCTTGGGTTTCCAAGGTGATATGATTACGATGGAAGTACATTACCCAACCTTGCTTCCAAGGAGTGGCTGGTGGATTTGAACCATCAGCCTTCTGGTTAGCAGTCAAATGTCTTAGGCACTACGCCACCAGAGCTCCTGTCAGGATACTAGAGAACAAAATAATAATTTTATATATATATATATATATAGTTACTGC